CACATCTCGTAAGCCCTTGTAAACACAAGTTCTGTCAGCGAGGCCAAGTGCCTTTGCACCCTACGCCCCAGAGCTCCGCGTTTCAAAAGCACAAAGCAAAGAGCCTGCCTGGTTCGGGTTTGGTGGGTGACTCCTGCTGGACCCCCTGCCCTGCCCTGAGCCAGCTCAGCTATCCCACCGTCCACACCAGGAAATCTGCAGCCCCTGGAACCAGGAGTTAATTTTACTGCCTTGTCCTCAGAAACTGCTGAATCACAGAGGAGGTGATATTTTCACAAAACAAAACTAAGAGGCAGAGAGACAAATAAACAGAGACAAGAAGTCAAATGGCATGACAGAAACTAAAAGCAAAAAAAAAGCTGCCCAAAGTAGAAAAGTAGTACAGAGATTTTCCACCTGGATAGCTACATTTGGGCAAAGTTGTAACCATCTAAAAACATATCCTTTTAATAGGAGGTTGGATAGTCTTATTAGAAGGAGGTGCTGCTAACTTTGTCTATAAACAATAAATCGTCGGGTTTCTCTGCATAAGCCATGCTGCAACTCGTCAAAATCAGGAAGATGCATCACACAGCCTGTCACTGCAGGCCACCTATTACTGTCATTTTTGAATTTGACTTTGAACTACGTGATGAAAGCCTCCGTCTGAGGCACGGAATGATAATTTTAGACTTGCAAGATAATTCCTCTGACAAGGAAGGACACCCTTTTCCCTCACATTCACTTTTTTAGCAAAGCCCCAGAGACATTTATTACGTGTTGCTTCACTATGCGTGTACCTCAGTTTCATTTGAATATAGGATGAAACTTCACACACTTTCTAAAAAATTGTCTAGTGTTGTGGTGCACTGCTAAGTAGTCATCACAATCCACTACACATCTATTTTGGGCTAGTGTAGCCATCGCTATCATATATTTCATTTGCATAGCAGTTTTGTATTAAAAGTGGCTGCACAAATAAATAAATAAAATGTAGAAAATGCTAGAAAAAAAGTTTACTGTTACAACAATGCTGCCACCTGGTAACCAGAAGTGTAATAGCAGAGAAAACATCCACTTTGCTCTGCCTTGAACAGGCAGACACAATTTTAAATAACATTTAAAAGCACAAAAGCTGCAAAGTTACAACTGGAATAGGTTCATTTCCCTGTATCAGTTTAAATCATTCTTATGGTTCGGTTTTACTGTGGGGAGGAAGTAGCTCATACCCTACCCAGATTAAACTTGATTCTAAATCCTGGAAAGTATCTATGGAGAATAGTCAGCTAAGGGACTGGCTCACTACAGTAGCTGAATTAAATACGCCTGATTTTGAGCACACGAGTAGTCAGAATTAAGTCCACGTTTAAAGATATTCATGTCCTCCAGCAGCTTGCTAAATTAAAACTATACCACTAAATATTTACAGAAAGAATCAAATCTACAGTGACAAAGGTACAGAACAGATAAAATGAAATCCTGAGAAAAGAAACCCAAAGAAAATAAGATGTCAGGTGTTGTCGTAGGTGGAAAATCTATTCATGAAAAGGAAAATGCTACAATGACATTAAATAAGGAATATTTATTTAAACAGAAGAAAAAACCTACATATAAAGGTTGGGAAACATGAAATGCATTGGGAAAAGGTTCCCAGTCTCTTCCGAGAGTCCATAACTCTTCAAGTCTAAAATAGTTTCTAAATATCTGTGATAAATAAGCAGGAGAGAGTGCAAACCAGAATAAAGTTATTTTTACATAATCCCAGCAAGCATCGCTGGGATGAACTCCTGCACGCTGTACTCCCTACATTAATAAAGAAATGCAGAGTATACTGTCTAGCTTTCTTTTCTAATACACATTGTGAATGCTTCATCTTACTACATTTTTTTAGTAAACTATTACCCTAGCATATTAGATTTTTCAGATTAGCATAAACTTCTTTCAAATTCTCTAGGAAATAATGGATCATAGACAGTTACTGGGATACTACCCTCAAATAATACACCCTTAGAATTCAATCTAATGAATCACTGTACCTCCTTTGAATGGCAACACGGTTTAGATCATCCCATAAATTTCCAGACAAACACACAAACGCAATTATTCTGCAAGACATGCGCCTGCAGGATGAACTCCCTGTTTTCCCTGGAGGGAGCAGGACCCTTCCATTGCGACCAAAGTGATGGAAGTGACCTCTTACCAACATCAGACACATGCCTGACAATTTTACAGACAAATACTTGACAATGAGATAGCAGAAAAAAAAGGAAAATGTTTCCATATGTAACATTGCGTTTAAAAGTGTTCTAATGTAGATTTACACAGCTGTGGTTTTTTTGTACTAAAAAATTGGAGGTGTTGTGTCAAAAGTATAGAAAACAACCAACATTCAGACACTGAATGGCAATTTCTGTTCTCCCAGACCAAGAGGATATTAAAACAGATTGGAAAATCCAGAATCAATAATAGAATTCCTATTTTTACAATGTGTATTTCAACAGTGGAATCACCACTGTTGGAAAGTATTGAGTCCAAGGACTTAATGTCATTTTAGAGAGAAATTATTATTTAGGTGAATCAATAATATTGAGAGTTCCAAGAACCTAGAAGAAATATTTAAGATGTACTTAAGCCAATATCTGTTAGCATTCAGAATGAGTTCTGTGTTGGATATGCATTATCCCATATTTAATTATTCCAAGGTTCTCAGTTCTTGCTTTGAAACACCTCCTACTGGACACTTGCAGAGACCAAATACAGGCTTGGAGAATATGATAAGTACTGTAAATGCCTACATTTTAAAGAGTTTGTATATAAGTATGTATTTCCTTTAAACCTATACAAATGGGTTTATTTCCACTTACACTATTTGACTTAATGGTAATAAAGGCCTGTGGTGCAAATTGTAAAAAAACCTTCAGAACTGAACAATCTTTTGAATCTAAACCTAACATGACATGTCAGCATACTATATATTTTATCAAATCAAGAGCCTCAGAACATAGCATATAGGCTTGCAGTAAAAATAGTTATTTGCTAATAGGCGAGGGACAAAGGATTAAGTAGCAAAACTAACCTCTCTGGGCTAAAAGATTCCTGAGGAAGATTAGCGTATTCTGATGGCAATTATGAGAGGTTCATGTTTTAAATACTGCAGAAGTGACTTCTAGTCAGCTAATTTTCCTTGTAAGCATTATTTCAAGGACACATACGTGAGAGGCAACTACATCACGAAGAAGCGTGGCTCTGATTGCAGTTCACCTCTGGATAATCATAGATTATTTTTTTTTCTTTCTCCCTATCAATCCATGGCCTCCATTGCGTAAGATTGCGGGGGGACAATTCTCTTCCCAGAAGGGATCTGGATGCTGCTGCAATGGTGTGTTGGGGATCAGCTCTGGAGAGAAGAGGGAATTCATGGCAGCTCTCTAATAGGGAGAAATACTTAAGAAAGGAATAATGATCTCTGCTATCCAAGCGACAGATTTTTCATACGGTGGGACCCAAGCCCTTTGAAAGAGTTCAAGCCAAAGCTGAGATTTCCTGACTCCCGGTGAAATGCCTCAGGCACAGGACAGGAGGTCAAAAACGTATCATGCTAACTTGTGCTCCACCAGAAACAGAGGCAACGGAAAATGTACATAGGTCACATCCTGCCCATCTTCCTCACTCATATGTGAAAAATTCTTTCAGGGGAAGGGGAGGAAGTATTTGGCCCAAAATCAGGAGAGGTAGCAGCAGACATTCTTGCATGTTCACATTTGTCCTATCAGTCTCCCCGGAGAGTCAGATGTGAAAGACAGACACAAAGCACCGTGACTGATGGGCTGCCTGCACACTCGCCTATTCTGAGCTCCCTGCCAAAAGCAGAAATCCTTTAGACTGAGGTTTTTACAGGCTAGTAAAACTGGAAAAAATGAAAATCACATTTTTTAACAAATTCTTTTGTCAATACTAGTGGTAGCTAAAATGTGCTAAATGCTTGGCCTACAGAGTTTCTCTGATAAAGATCACAACTCAAAATGAGACAGACAAAAGTGACAGAAAATGGATATACCACCAAGTCAATGAAGGGTGATTGTCCACAGTCACTATTTTGACATATGCTAAAGACATGAATAAATAAGAAGCAATGACTGGAGCATGAAATGGCAATACCAGAGGAATTTTCTAATGAGATTTCCCCCAGATCTTTTCCGTATAATTAAGCAATATTAAAAGTTCTAGAGGTATCTAATAGAACCTTGAAATAATTTTTAAAAATGGTACTTAAAAGGAAAAAAGAAAAAAAAAAGATTTGCTAGTTTTCAAGACAGGTATGCTGCAGATCAAGTGGGTGGATGTCAGGAGGGAGGACTGCGACTATTTAAGTAGCGTCATGCTTTCTGGTTGTGACTGTAAATGTCAGTAATGTATAAGTGTCTCAGAAGAAGAAAGTTCTTTCCTGAAGGTTCACAATTAGTTCTACAAACACAGTCTTTGGCAGAAGAGAAAAAAAAATGGGGAGATTGTTCAGTTCTGACCCAATTATAACAATAACAAAGACTGAAATAGGTAGCAAGAATGCAAGCAGATACATAGTTAGAGTAAGAACAGAACCAGCATGCAGGAGATGTAACTGTCAGATCTAGTTTGCTGAACGCGCTATAAACATGGCAGCATAGGAATTCTTAATGCAATACATACGTGAAGCTGGAAAATGTACTGTACGCATGCGCAACATCAGATTGTAGTCTGGTTTGTACCAACAGATCAGTGGTAGCCAGTCTTGGGTGGTTTGAGCTCTCTGGCTTCTGGAACTTGGCTATATTTATCCCGGCTGATGTAGCCTGTCAAGTGTGTCCTGCTGTCGATAAGGTGCCGTAGTTGACAACAGTGGGGGATCAAGGGGGAGGAGCAGGATGGGGGCTTCCACCGAGTGTTTCTTTAGGGGGTCTCAGAAGCCCTGCAGTCTCATTCCTGTTTAGCTCGGACCCTGCTTTTTAGATACAACTGGGAGCTTCATCAGAAACAAAGTGAAGATGCCAGAGCCTGCAAAGAAAACAGGTAAGGATCATAACTGCAGGCAAAACCTAACAACAGCTTGACAGAGAAAAATGTGAGTAGCTTTTGTATGCTAGAGAAATGAGATGCCTCAGTGGGGAAAAAAATAGAGAGGAAAAAGAGACAATATTTGATGAAGTTATAAGAGATGTTAAGAGAGATGTTGCAGAGAAATCGGTAACTAGTTTGGCAACCCTCAGCCACAGAATTTTTTCAAGAGACTTTGGATGAGGAAAGAATAGAGATGAAATGCATTTAATTCTCAGATTCTTTTCATTTCTCATTTCCCTTCCCAGTCACCTTTAGGACTCTGAAAAAAAGCTTGTAGTCTCTCCCTTGGGCAGTTAGGCAGTATAAACCTCTCCTGCAGTATAAACCTCTCCTGCTTTTGTTTTGGTTTTTACCCTGATAATTTCAAGGAAGCGTTATTGGCAAACTTTGATGGCATTTGTTATTAGTGAAATCTTTGTAAAAATGAAAGCAAATGGCACCTGGTTCAAAGCTTATTCTTTCTAGTTCTTCCAGTCAGTGAAAGTAGAATTCTAGAAAAAAAAAAAAAAAAGACATTGTACTGTAAAGCATATATGTACATTTCTTTTAACTCACCCTCCTCCATTTTTTCCCCTTGAGCCAAAAGATAAGCAGCCATTTTCAGAAAGCCAAGATCACAGACCCCAGTGCAAATCCTGCCCCACTAGAAGAACATGAGGAAAAGATTTCAGATTTAGGAAAGTTACAATTTAAAATTGAGAAGAATTTAAAATTGAAAAGAAAGGGAGGCCTAGGATGGGGTGTAAGGTGCAATTTATCTGGTTGTCTGAGAAAGAGGAAGAGAGCCTGGGAAGCAGAGGTAGGGAGAGTTTAGCTTCAGAATACCTGTGTGTGGGTAGAGGAAGATGTCTCAGGAGCATTTTGTGTCCACAATTAAGTTTGGAAAAGAAGTTGTCAAAAGCTGAAGTGATGATTGTTTGAAGAATTTGCACATATCCAACACCCAGGAGAAAATTGTGCTAAATCTGGGATTCTTCATTTTTAGAGCTCTCACTTCCCTGATGCCAGTGCATACCCCAAATCACTGCTACCTGAATGTACAGTACAAGGTGCATGTTTTTTTAATAACGTGCTGTTGGCAGAGTTAGTCAATAATAGCTGTTGATACTTATTAATGTAGGCCTTTGTGCTTTGCAAAGGACTGAATTGGCATCAGTCTCCTGGTAGGCTGGTCAATGGGAAAATCTCCTGTGGTCACCACAACAGAAGAAGAACTTGTAAGAACTTTCATTTTGGCCAAAATATTTGGAATCAGCCACTGCCAGAGGCAGAGCACAAATCCAGCCCATATCTCACATGAAGAACTGCATGATTAACTCCAACGGTTTCTTTATGTTCCCTCTATAGGATAACTCTAAAGCAACAGTGGTGTCACCAATCCTTCAATTTTATCACAACTATAACATCATTTGATGTTCTTAAAGCTGCAATTTCTGAAATCAGATGGAAGTAGAATCATATATAAAAAAGAAGGAAATACCAGACCTTGTAATTGTAGAGAAAACCTTGAAAATATAACCTGTAAAGGTTCAGCAATCAAAAATAAGACATTCATAATCACATTCTATTTTTAAAGTCACATGATTTCTGAGATTTATTGAAATGCCTAATGCTTGTGATGATTGACAATGCTGGCAAAAAGAAATATGACAGGGTAGGCAAAACTTGGCAGTGTGATTTCCTAGGCATTGTGACTTTTGATTTCTAATGTTTTAACTGCCTTTAAATTAACATTTTCAGTGTCTGTGGATGAGAAGCAGCTGCTCTGTTTGTGAAGATGCCCACCTTTGCTAGCTAATGGTGGAGAGAAATTCTATTCCATCTTATTTCTGCAGAGAAATCTAACAGGTGTCTAACATCACTAGTCCTACAGAATTCTTATGAACAAAGCAGCCCAAACACAGTGATTATCACAGCAGGGGGAGGAATAGCTCTTATTACCCACTCTGACCGAGGCAGAACCAGTCACATGTCCCATAACTTCTGGAGGGGATCTTCTCATTCTCCCAAGAGACATTAATCCCTTTGGTTTTCTATTTCATGTTGTTTATATAGTTCAAGCCATTTCAAGATGGGATAATGTTGAGCATAATCTCAGAAGGGCTGAATAATCACCTAGCAATTCATACTTGGGCAAATCATGATTTCTGCCTTTCACATACCCTATAGTGAGAATACTGAAGAACCCTAAGAGATCTTTAGTCTCTGTTACTGAAATTTGGGCATCTGGTGCTTAGGTAAAGGATAATGCTTCATGCCAGAGAATGATCAGAGATATTCTCCCTATATCTGCTGTTTTAACAAACCTTTTAATATGTTAAAAAAAAAATAGCAAAAGAACAACAACAAACCACAAAACCTAAAACAGTGAAGTAGATTTTCCAGCAGACGTTCTTTTACTTCAAACTGTCCAATTAAAACACTTCAGGATAAGACACTGCCCTATTTGTTTACAGAATACCAAAAGAACTGACGTAGCTCTCCAGAAAATCTAAGAGCAGCAGGATTTAGCAGACCTGTAGCAATTTAGCGTCAGAGCAAACAATCAAACATTGAAAAGCATCAATTTTTGCAGGGTTCTGTAGCAGAAATGTTATGGTCTTCTCCCTTTGATTTAAACATTTCATAGTTAATCTCTGTTCAAAGGTTTGCTTTTTGGAAAGTTTTGATTGTTTTGGGGTTTTTTTTTTTGGTTGTGAAAATTCGGGAAGGATATTAAGAGTTGACCTTTTAAACACTGAATTTAGTAGATAAATGGGGCTTAATGGGAAATATGTGCATTGCTATATCTGGAAGAGGAGAAGTCTGATACCACTCATCTCTGAAAATCAGTCCATTTTTATTCACATATTTTATACACTGAGGAGTCTAGATTTTGCAGTGCAGATTAGGGAATTTTATCAAAGGTTTATAATCAACCTGGCTTGTAATTTCACAGAGGCTTTTGGCATTAATAATAATAATAGTCAATGCTGCGTAATGAAGACTGTACTGTAGAATTTTAGTTTTAATATGAGCTCATTGTTTTACATTTGCAAGCACCAAGAACAGTAAAGTACTGCTCCACAATCATGAACTTCTGTGCACTACAGTAATGCAAAAATAAATAATAATAATAATAATTCATAATTATCTATTTTCCTCTTTAGTAAGTTAAGATTCAAAGCAAGCTGAACATTATAAACACCAATTTACAGAAAGTATGATGGATGCATAAAAAGAGAGAGAGGTGACTCTGCTTGGTGAAACTATTCCTCGCCTGTTGCTCATGTTACAGGAATTTACAATCTCAGCTGCTGAAGTAGGCAAGGAATGATAAGATTGAGTAGTTCAATAGCTTTTGGATCACGGAATGATTAAGCTTGTAATTGCAAGAAGCCACTTAGGTCCTGACTGAGGAATGTGCAGCATCTTTATTTAGTTCCTCAGCAAGGAATTTACAAGCTCCGTTACTGAAGGCTGCTTCTCCACACTTTGGCTTTTAACTCAATGGGAAAGCAAGTGGTATGAAAGGAAAACTCAATGCCAAGTGGAAGTACTAACACAAAGATAATTGTTCAACATCAAGCCTTAACAAATTAAGGAATTCCAAAAGCTAATACTACTTTTGTAATATTAATTAAAGACATTGGCCAGATACATATTGTAATATCAAATACACAGAATGTGCAGTAAGATATCTTAGCTTTGTGGGAGAAAACCTGTGACTATTTTTTCTAAATACACTCACCACAGATTTCTGCTGGAGTTTGTAGCATGTGCGTTCAACCAGTTACATTAGATTCTCCTAAAACATTGATACTCTTAACAGTTTTTATTTCAGAAAGGCAGAAATATCATTTGAAAGCCTTATCTAACACACATTCTCCTTAAGCATTTATCTCCCTCTTCTCCTTGTACATATCACAGATAATGAATGATGAAGAGCTGAAGTCAGAGCCACCTCTCTGAAAAGCAGGATGAAATTCAAACAAAACAAACAAACAAACAAACAAACAAAAAACGCAACAAGAGAATACCTTTCTGCTATCACTCTATCTAGTTAAAATCACTCTTGTGGAATCCACACTTCTTCCTCATTTTCATTTCACAGGCTTCAGACATACTTTGAAATTCAGTGATTTTTAGGAAAAGGTTTTCACCTAATGCCTGTGATTCTTGACAAGCCAAATTATTTAGAGAATGTGGCTAGGAACTGAAATTATTCCAGTTATTTAAACATTATTTTAATATATGTCTCCTCTCCTTGTTTTTCTAACAACAAACAGGAATGCCTCTTCTAGCTTCTAATACCGACTTTTACTCCTGTTAGGAATTCAACAGTACTTAGTAGCTACTTACTGACAACTTGATGCTGTACAACAGAAAAACAGCTTCTGCCTCAAAACACTTACAAAATAAAAGCCCAGTAAATAGATAGTTCAACAAGAAAGCAAAAGAAATAATAGTTAGTACAATAGATAGTGACCTGGGTGGTAGCTTAGCCATTTTGTAGCTTTTTGCATAGGAGAGTATGAAAAAGTTTTGAAGCAGAATAGTAAACTAGGTTGATGGTGGGTTTTTAGAAGGAGATTGCTTCAAAGCAGGTCAGAAAGTAAGAGAGAAAGCACAAAGTTACTAATATGAAGTTTTAATAAATGGCAGCAATAGGAAGGCAGAACACTAGTTTTATTATTTTATTTAGGTCAAAAGTGAAGGAAATTGGTTTTGGAACTCAAATGATTTCATTCTAGTTTAATTTGGCCAAAACCAAATGTATTTTATATTTCTTCAGCCTCCTGATTGAAAGACTTATTCATAAATTATTATCAAAATGCAATCTGATCACGGATCTCCAAATAGAGGTTTTTATTACGAACTAACGAAGCTGTAACTTACGTAACACACATAACTGTGTGGCTGATGTGTACATCTTCAGGCGTTACAAGACTTTTAAAGGATGGGTGCTGCATGCAAGTTCTGGTAGTAGCAGCAGCATTAGCCACCAAAAAGTTTTCTGCAAGACTATTGCAGACCACACGCAGCCTACTTTCTCTTCTGCCTGGGGTAGAAATTTGCTGTTTTACATTACTCAGAAGTTATATGAAGTTTTTTGCATTATGGAAGCCAGAAGTGATCAGGAAGGTCTGGGGCATGAGAAGTGAGGTGCTGAAAAATGACCTAGCACAACGTGGCTCTAGCCTCATTTTCTTTCATTAGCTCCACGTCCTTCTTCTCTCCCCATGTTAACTCCCCACAGCAATTCCAATTCCATCCCCACAAAAAACACACATGCAGAACATCTATCACTCTCCATCCTCTCATTAATTCCTGCCATCATCAGCACTGGTAACTCATGTGCATCTCTGCCCTCTCTCCAGAATGGCTATAGTATGATAGTACTAATGTCGCCTTTCTCTCCCTTTGCGCAGGGTGGGTTAGAATCCACCGGGACTCAGAGAGTTAACAAAGTGGGCGACAGAGGACTTGGGCTGCTTGGCCATGAGGTGCCCCAGTCCAATGGCTCCTAAGAGCATGTTTGACTGGAGTCTGGATAAACATGGGATAGTGCCTGAGATCTGTCAGTGCCTGACAGGCACAAGAGCTGTAAGACATTCCACAGCATCACATGAGAGGTGTCACAGCCTAATGGTGGTGGTCATACCCAAGAGTGTTTTGAGTATGGGATGGATATATGGAACTCAGAGGGGCGTATCTGGGTAGAAGCCAAATGTTGAAGTGAGAAAGATTGCCAAATGGGGAATGTGTTTCTGATAAAAGCAGGCAAAAGTGAGGTTCTCAGAACAGACAAGAAGTTTTGAATGGTGGTGTTTAGGACCTTTCCTAATGAGGAAATAACTGGATTAGATCAGTATAATTGTATGAGGGAAAAAAAAACTGTTGGTGAACTCAGATTTAAGTGTTACCTAAAGTAGCAGCCACAATGAAAGGAGACCAGGAATGGCTGATCTCTCATTTCTCTTTCTTCTGTTAAGCAGCCCCTTTTTCCTCTAGAAGTCAAAAATGATGGCATTCTCTTCATGTACTTGTTCAGCAATCTCACTTCTGCAACAAAGTAGTTTCCTTTAAAATCTCCAGCTGTCCATCGCTACTTTTCCTTTGCAAATATGAACAGTGAAAGATGAAAGGGAATACAGATGGATACAGAGACACACTACTTTGGAGACTGTCACCCACTGCGTCTGAATCTCAAGTGCAGGAAAATGACTCTTAGGGTCTCCTTTACCTGTGAAAAAGTGGGTTCTCGACAACTGTTCTTGCAGCTCTTTACTTGCTTGGGAGGTTTTGGGCTTTTCCAATTTTATGCTCTAGTGGAAGTATTCACAATCATTTTAAGTCAGAACTGAAATGAGTCTTTTGGCAGGAAAGGGAGAGAGAGAGAAAAAAAAAAGACAAGGAGGTTTACTCCTAAATTTCTACATATGTATTTAGATTTCCCAAAAGTCTGAAATATTATGTGGTGGTGGAGATTTCTCACTGTGCGTGTAGTTCTGGCCAACAATCTGTTTTTGTTGAATCATCTAAAGTAAATGTAAGAAACTTAATCACTTTGCAGGGCGTGCAGCAGATCAGAGAGTTACTTCCAAGTATGCATATCTTGAAATGCTGCCATTTGTAGGCTGGAACCTTTACAGACCACATAGCTGTTAAGTAATTAATATATTTATAGATCATTTTGTGCTGAAATAGAAGAGTGATGATGAAGGCACTCAGAGACAAAACCCATGCCTCTTTTTGCTGCTTTATCTCTAGCGTCATAGGGAAAGGAGCCAGCTAAGTAGGTATTTCGGGAGTGGGTTCCAGAACTGACTTGGCTGGCAAAGCATACCCTGCTGTGTTAGTTACACAAGTGCAATACCGTATCAAAAGATGTGCACCTGATAACTGGCATTTGAATATTACACTATAGTATAGAGCCCTATATTCTACACGGTACTATATTCTGTCAAAGAACAATTACACCACTTACATGCCTGAGCTTAGAAAAAACTCAAATAAAATCATGCATGGACATTCCACTTCCAGAGGAAATTTCACACACTTACATCTTACCATGGAAGAAAAGCATGCAGAAGAATACACCAGGAGGTCAGTCAAGTCAGTGCAAACCAAAATTGGTTTTTCTCATCAAATATATAAAATGTGAGGGGAAAAAAAAGAGAGAGAAAAAAAAGAAAAATGTAGTTTAGGGTTTTTATATAACAAAGAGAGGCAAAATACAATACATACTAAATTCTAAAAGTATTTTTAATTTATACTTTAACAGATGTTTAAGCGGCTTTGAATCCTTTGCCAAACAATGCAAGAAACATGAACTGTATTATGACTAAAGTCCAAAGGCCATCAGATGAAATCTTTGCAGATGTAACTCCACTGAGGTCAATTAACTTATGCAGTCTGAGGACACGCTACAGGAATAGAGATTTTGGCAGTAAACAGATGGTACTATTAGTAATATACCATTTCTACTAACTAAAGCACCTGTTTGAACATGAATATAAAGTATTTCTTTAAAAATATTTCCATGCCATGGTCCTTTCATTTTTATAAAGCAGAATCAAAAGTTTAAAACTAATTACAACCATTGTTGTGGTGTTTGGAAGAGTTCTTATTGCTGCTCAGGTAGGAGAGCCATAGACAATTTGCCACAGAGGTGACAGATACCATCAAATGTGATGGAATTAATAGTATTCTATAAAAGTGCAGTTATACAGGGGTAAGTCAATAAAAAGATGACATAATGATGCACAAAAAACATTCAGTGTATGAATCAGAATGTTAATTACTGGTATTTTTATAAATTAACATAACTCATGGCAATTAGCAAAAAGATAACAGATTTCATTAAGACCAAAACATCAGCATAAAAGGTAAAAGCTTGATTCAAAATAAAGTTGAAGAAATCTAAATAAATAAATCAGGGTAGAGAAATTAGTAAAATACCTTATTAAAATCTAATATTGAGAAAGTTTAGGAGACTCATGGAGCAAAATCACAATATATTACTTGCTTTCCAAACTTCTATCTGTTGTGCTATTTTGATTATATATGAACTAAACCATCGTTTCGTTCATGCTTTTTCACCCCATATATTAATAATTTAATTAATTCTCATTGGAAGCATCGTAAGTGCTTCTTGACACATAGAGGAAATATTTCAATCCACCTTGTAATTAATCAGAAAACTAGTTCTTGTAAAGTGCTACATAGGCAAGTACTTTAACTTTTAATGTTGGACATTTGAATGCAAACAACAACTGATATTATTTCAGCTGGGATAAAATTACAAGGGCCGTCACAGGAACGAGCATCCCTTTCCACTAAAGCCTTGATCAGTCAATGTGGAAGGACTAAAGATGAACCATTAATTCATTGTGGTATAGTAGGACACAGGTTACTGCACAACGTGCAATTTTGTTGGAAGAACAGATCCTGATCCTGTTTAATAACTGTATCGAGCAATTGTTAGGACAAAATTAATATTTCCAAATAAAACTGCATGGGAAATTAATGTAGGGAGCTTGATGTGTAAGCATACATACCATGCCATCTCAAAATATTCACTTAGGAAAAATCAGAGCGCATTATGGGGGAAAAGAAAGAGGAAGATGGACAGTGAGATGAGTTTGCTGTCCATTCCATTTTATTTCACGACAATATGGAGAAGATATGACATCTCAGTCAGAGGCAGTACTCGGTAAACTCAAAGACAATTCCACAACTTCTCTGTGGAAAGTGCTGTAATTTGTATCTTGCATGGGCAGATGGGAGAGAAAGGAGACAGCTGTTGCCACCACAACAGCTGACTACACCAGATATGCCACAATTGCAAAACAGATTTTAGTGAGCCCTCTCTCTTTTTTTAGTTTCTGCATTTACCAAGAAGCCGAAGACAACAGAGGTGACAGCCGGAAGCACAGCTGTGTTTGAAGCAGAGACAGAAAAAGCTGGCATCAAGGTGAAGTGGCAGCGAGCTGGCACAGAAATTACTGAAAGTGAGAAATATATCATCAAGGCAGAAGGAAACAAGCATTCACTGACAATTAATAACATAGGAAAAGAAGATGATGTGACATATGCTGTAATAGCTGGAAGTTCTAAGGTCAAATTTGAACTCAAGGTCAAGGAACCAGGTACAGTGTTTCCTAAGCAATTTGAATTTATCAGTATTTCCAGTCCCACATGCAAACTTCATGAATGACACCGATGGAAATTAACCTAACACTTTAAAATTTGTCCTACAGCAATACCTCTGTTTTTCCCAATTTTTTGAAGCTACTCATTAATATTAAGCTGAGGAATACATTTCCTGTGGCTAAGACACCCATTTCCAGAAGTCCACACGGTGGAGATCACAGAGGAAATCTCAATGTACACCTTTAGAATTCTCTGTCAAGTTTTTCAACTTAACTGTTGAAAAGCAAAGCAAAGCAAAGCTAACCTAATCTAACCTGACCTAAACTAAGATGCCTGCACATTAGGCCTGGTATTTTTTTTTTAATTCTTTTATTTAAATACAAAATTGTAACAATTGACAAAAAAATTACAAGTTATGCTGTAATGTTTTAGGAGCTCATACGTTCCCCGAAACTGTCTCAAAGTCATCTGCTAATAAAAATATATATTTCAAGAGGGACTTGAACAGCTACACATCCAAATTATGGGAACATCTACACTACATTAGTTAGAATAATGTTTAGTTCTTTCCAGTAAAAAATTAGTTGAAATTTATTTGGACAAGATCCAATGGGATACCTTCTAACAATAAAAATGGTAGAATTTGAGACTTAAGTATTAAAATAATACCAATTTAAAAATCACAGTCTTCTCTTTCAAGACACAAATACAGCTTAGGGTAAAAGGCATAAATTTTCTGAGCATGGGGTTGACTCATGTTCATATGTTCACAGATACTATCTTGTTTTTCAGACCTCACTAAGATTAGATTGTTCAAGAGTAACTGGATTACACATTATTATTTTCACAAACAATAATTTCAGGAAACTTTCCCCTAACCTGCCCAGACACAGCCACCTCCCTTTGTGACAGAGGATCCACACAGCACAACAGGGCCAGAAATCCCTGGTGGAAAAAAATCATTGCAAATATCTTGGAAATTGCCTGTGGGATTTGTGTGAGAGGTTGGCGAGGCCCCTTGGAAGTGGGTCCACTACCTATGGGGGAAAAAAAAAAAAAAAAGAATAATCTTGTTGCAACTGATCTGTTTCAAGAAATTCTACCTCCCTCCATCTGCCCCAGTTGCTCACTCCTACTCCCTTTTCATACGTTTGTATCTTCTCCATTGTGCCAAATGCATTTGCCTGAATTTGTCTGTGAGGTCATGGTTTAACTCAGAGGCCATAAACTTCTATGAGCCAGGAGAAGAAATGATAGATGGATTTTTAAAATACTTTCTCCATATTGATTACTAGCAGTGCCTAGAGCTTTTCCGAAGCCACACACAGCAATATCATTTGGAATATTACATTCCAACGGCAGAATTAAACAAAATATCATGAATAAGCAAATTGTTTACAAAAATAATATGTGCATCACTTTTCATTACCTTTTCTATTTAGACCACTGAAGTTAACATCAAATAATAGCGTTATTCATCAGCTGACAAGCTTCTAAACATCAAGACTATTGAATTTAAAAATCCAGGCATCAGTTCTTTCCAAGCTCAGCGAAAGAAAGAGCCTTATCATCCAGCTTCAGGAGGCCCCTTCTCCTTCCAGCACATCCTCTAAGTTATAGAAAACCACAGCTAATTTCTCTGCATTTCCTAACATATATTAAAAGCTGATTTTTTGCAAAAGTTCTTCAGAAAGGAAGTAGAAACATGACTTTCTCTAATCTTGGCTTACATTCATTTCCAGAAAA